AGGCATGTGTCCACCCCCCTTAAGCCCCCATCACCACTAATTTCCCTCCTCCGTCTGTGAGAGTGCAGGCGATCGATGCAGCCCAAGCACCTCACCATCTTCACTGTTCATTACTGCTGGCAACACTGTGACCACAAGCGCAAACTGCTTCCAAGTCTTACTCATGCATTACAGTTTCGCCAAACGGGTCCAACAAAACTACCTCATTAACATGCAGCAAAAACATCTTCAATTCCTCTCCCTGATTTGTTTCATTAGCTCATCACAATGCCAGCCGGTTTCAACCAACTTTGAAGTGTCGATGACAGCGGGAGGCCAATGAGATTTTCTTTTCTTCCCTGCGTCTTCCCGTATTCTTGATCCTCACCCACGCGGCGTGTCCAGCTCTTTCACCACCTGTCTCTCCAGCACTGCCCTGGCCTCCCAGAAGCACTCACATACACACTGCATGTATAGAAGTGATTTACTCAAGCAATCAGTGAGGAAACTGTCTGTTGAGAGCAGGCGGAAAAAAGGAGCCGCGGCTATTGTGTTGGCTAGTTTAATGTTTACCTATTGGAGAAGGTAAATTGCTCTCCATACAAGTACAATGGAATGGAAATGGGACATGGCGTCTTAAGCATAGAACAAGGACAGGGAGAATAAAATCCCCCTCATTCAAACTGTGCTGGGGAAAACGCAATAAGACGACGGTAGAGATTAGCAGCATGAAGTGTACACCACTTTTCTCATTGGCAGAACCTCATCTAAAGATTTCTTTTCATGTTTTTGTCTTGCAGTTATTGTAGCTGTAAAATGCACCACAATATTTCTATAGCATGTGGTGGTGGTAAAAATAGTGTGTGGGGGTGGACTGGTAAAAACTTTCTCTCCAAAAGTGTTTTTCCAATTCTGTCACTGCTGTCATATCCCAAAGAGTTTGTGTTTTGAATAGATTTCTCCATTTATACTCCACTAACATGCTACATGCTTCAAGCATTTCTTTCTCTTTTTTAAAAAAAAAGCAAAAAAAAGTAAAACTACAAGCCTGCAATCAATGTAATGCCATGATCGCGTTACAGAATCTGAATGTCCTTTTCGTCATGATATAATTGTCTGATATAATTAACACTGAACAAGATCTGAAGGCTTTAATTAGTATAGAGTGACAGGCAAAAGGCAGGTGGAAAAGAGTTAAAGGAGCAATATGTAATATTTGCATGTCAAGTCATCATTAAATGACCCGAATATTTCAAAAGGCGTTATTAAATCATACTCTTTTCGAATTCATCTTTAACTGATAACAGTAGTTCAGCCGAGATATTTGATTATCAAAATTAGTTTTACGACCCGTAAAAGTTGTTATTGTTTTGATTTTGATGTCCTACCCTCCGCCGTTTCGCCAATCAGGAAGTGTCATGTAAGTCCGTGAACGGGTTGCCAGAACTCCGCGCGGCTCATTAATCTCAGTGGTAAAATAACATGTGGCACAGAACTAAAAAAGGTCTCTCAAATCATTAATGACAAAACAAAGACTAAAACGAGGATTTATATCGGGATGCCTTTGAACAATTGAGACAGCTGATAAAAGTTCACGTGTGATGCAGAATTTTCTAGTTTGACTCCGTTCTTCACAGTGTCTCATTCGTGTGAATCGGTGGTCTAGTGGTCTAAACTGTGCGCTTACGATGCAGGAACCCGGGTTCGATCCCGGGCCATGTCTTTTTGTATTTATTGCATGTTATCACATTCTATGACAGATTGCTCTAAAAACGGTAAAAGATGAAGGTCGAGACGTTTTTTTGCAGATTATAGCTTAATTGTAAAAATAATAATTTAAGACCCGATTAAAATTTCCCCGAATTAAAATAATGTTAGTCTCTTTTTGATGTGGGACTTTTATATGTTTGTCTAAAAAATAGGGAATAAATCAAATTGAAAGGTGATATCCTCTTGAGCAAACCCTGATGTTGATACGCTGAAGAAATACGTTCCAACATCCATTCTTCCCACTCCTATTTTGGACATCAATTGCTTATTTATTTTGCATAAACTATGTATAATTACATTGCTTTTATTTTGTTTTTGTTTTTTATCTCAAATGTCCAAATAATAATAATAAAAAAACATTAATCAAAACATCCATTCAGCATTAGCACGGCTGTCATGGCAATGTGAATGGAGACGGACAAACAACTGATAAAATAATTCCCTGTGTTTGCTGCTGGATTTGGTGTGAATCTGGCAACCTGAGTCAGGGAGAGTGGGAGAGGACTACAAAATATTGACTGTGACTGCAGTACCACTTTTGGCCAGATTTTTACATATTGCTCCTTTAAGAAACCAAGTATTGTATTCAAAGTCAGGGAACATCATTGACCTGTGTAATAAATTCCATGTAACAAGTTCCTGGCTCTAAAACAGTTCGATCATTAGTATTCACATGCATGTATTGAAAAAGTGAAAAAGAGAACCACCCTCATTCAGCCAATCAGCTCCTTTGTCAAATACTGACTCACAGGGCTCTTTCTTACAAGTATGTAAAATATAATTTTCAACACCTCTCTGCAGTCCTGCCATGTCCCGGCCTGCTTCAAATCCTCCATCATTGTCCCCGTCCCGAAGAAGCCCAGGATCACAGGACTCAATGACTACAGACCTGTAGCACTTACGTCTGTCGTCATGAAGTCATTTGAACGCCTGGTTCTCTCCCATCTCAAGTCCCTCACCTCCCCCCTCCTGGACCCCCTGCAGTTCGCCTACAGAGCCAACAGATCTGTAGACGACGCCATTAACCTGGCCCTCCACCACATCCTACAGCACCTGGACTCCCCGGGGACCTACGCCAGGGTCCTGTTCGTGGACTTCAGCTCTGCCTTCAACACAATCCTGCCATCCCTGCTCCAGGACAAGCTCTCCCAGCTCAACGTGCCCGATTCCACCTGCAGGTGGATCACTGACTTCCTGACGGACAGGAAGCAGCGAGTGCGTCTGGGGAAGAATGTCTCGGACTCTCGGATTATAAATACAGGAGCCCCACAGGGCTGTGTTCTTTCTCCCCTGCTCTTCTCCCTGTACACCAACCACTGCACCTCCAGCCACGACTCCGTGAAGCTGATCAAGTTCGCGGACGACACCACCCTCATTGGACTCATCTCCAACAACGATGAGTCCGCCTACAGGAGGGAGGTGGACCGGCTGGTGTCCTGGTGCAGTGGTAACAACCTGGAGCTGAACGCCCAGAAGACAGTGGAGATGATTGTGGACTTCAGGAAGAGCACTGTCCCCCCGCCCCCACCCTCCGTGATGGACTCCCCCATCACCTCTGTGGAGTCCTTCCGTTTCCTGGGCACCACCATCACCCAGGACCTCAAGTGGGAGCCGACCATCAGCTCCCTCATCAAGAAGGCCCAGCAGAGGATGTACTTCCTGCGGCAGCTCAGGAAAGCCAAGCTGCCTGCACAGATGTTGGTGCAGTTCTACACGGCCATCATCGAGTCCATCCTCACCTCCTCCATCACCGTGTGGTTCGCTGGAGCCACAGTCAGGGACAAACAGAGACTACAGCGCATTGTGCGCTCTGCAGAGGAAGTGATCGGCCGCAGCCTTCCATCGCTGCAGGACCTGTACGTCGCCCGAGCTCGAGGCCGGGCTGGTCGTATCACAGCCGACCCCTCTCACCCTGCACATGGACTATTCCAACCACTCCCCTCAGGCAGGAGGCTGCGGTCCATCAGGACTAGAACCTCCCGCCACAAGAACAGTTTCTTCCCCTCTGCTGTTGGACTCTTGAACACTTCTTAACCTGTCCCCCCGCCCTTTATAAAGTCACTTTACTGCCCATCATACGTCACTTTACTTCACTGTACTGCTGTCACCTTACATTGTGTGCACCATGTGCACTTGTATATTGTAAATAGTAACTGTAACTCTATTTTAAATTTAAATTTATTCTTTAGAAGTGTTTTTTATTCTTATTTTTATTATCTCTTTTTGACTGTTGCACTGAGCCAAAGCAATTTCCAAGTCTGTGACCTCCCGTTACTTACGTTGGCAATAAAAATGATTCTGATTCTGATTCTGATTCTGATAATGTGTTATAATGAGATGGAGACATCATTCTGTCATTCTGTGGACTAATTTGTTCCCAACATTCTAATTTTATCCGACTCTAATGGACAAACTACATGTGTTATTGACAAAGAAAACAGTTAGGTAGTCCAGCTCAAATATGGAACTAGCAAGGACGTTTAGTGTTTGTGTTTGAAAGTGTTTGAAAGCATATTGTGTTAACGGAATCTTTGTTAAAAAAATAAAAATATAAAATGTAAAAAATGTTGTGCATTCTGTCATATCTAGGGATATACAAAACAACTCAAAACTTCTGTTTTGAGTTGTGGAATAAGGAGTCAACAACAAGGAATTTAGGGGACACTGATAAACATTTCACTGCACTACATTCCCTGCCAGTTGTGGTCACAAAGTTTCAGATTCAGATTCATTTTATTTGCTATTTGCAGTAAAACTACATTGGAATACGTTTGCAAAAGTCCCCAGTGTGCCCAGAAAATACAAGGTAAAAAAAAAAGTACAGGAATAAACAATCTAATGAAGTGCAGGAAACAATTGACACTGTGAAACCAACCAACTAGTTTCAATAAACGTAAGATCATTGTTGATTTGATGTTGTTTTTATTTATCATCATGCATCTTGTTATATGCCAGATGATCTTTTTGGCACTGCTTTTTTCAATACATGCAGTGTCAGTGGTTCGCATCCAGGACACAAAATTAAATTGACGACGGCTCGTTTTTACTGCACCGCGACCTCACATGGAAGCCTTGAGTTATAAATTCCCGGCATACACAATCTTTCAGCGAATACAATACAGTCCACGCACAACTTAATCTCTTTATGTGAGAGCAATCGGTTTTCCTCCCTGTCTGTGTGTCTCTAAAGACTCCTAAATGTATTTCCTCATTCTCTCCAAACTTGTGGTGCAGGTGACAGCTCTCAGACAATGGGACGATATCGCGGCCCTCCTCCGTCTGCTCGCTGCACAATAACAGACGGCTGCAGCTCAAGTGTGGCAGACTGTCAACTATGGTTCGGCAAGAAGAAAATTGACAAAAAAGATCCCAGATAAAAAGGAAGAAGACTGAGACGAGGAGAGGTAATTGAAGGGCTCTGTGGAGACTGATAAGCAAATGCACAAGAATATGTGCTCTCGCTAATTGCACCGTGCAAAACTTTAACAAACTTTAGGTTGAAAACTTAAAGATAGCCAAAATATATGAAAACTATTTGATTTGAACATTTGAAGTGGCAGATCACTCTTGTTTATGCTTATGGTAAAATTCAGATTCTCAAATCTTAATGTTTTTTTATTTCACACCATGGTACATATTTTCTGATAATCATTTACCTAAAATAGTAGCTGGAGGAGGATAATTAAACAAATGGCAAAAGGTCTCAAGGATTTGAATTCATTTCAACCAATCAGGAGTGTAGGAGCCACATATTTAGCCCCGATTAAGGTAAGGGCCAATTGCTTTCACAATGGTGCCATTGAAATCTATGGGTTTTCAGCGGAGCCGTTCAAAAAATTATTCTGTACTTTGAACCTTAATTTGACGCACTGAACATGCATGAAAACTTGCCAAATTATGCCCATAAGTCAGAACCGGCAAAAAAATTACCTTTTATTTTGGTGTTTATTTTTATGGGACAAAAAAATGCCAAAACAGCGCACCCTACAAAAGTCAGTTTACATTGCGCCTACAGGAGGGGGTCCGATGTCAAGTTTGTCGTAGAGCCACGGAATTTGGTACACATGAACCTCAACGCAAGACATGAAAAAAGGTTATTATGGCCACGCCCTGGCGACAGTAGCTCAGTTGGTAGAGCATTGGCCTTCAGGCCTGAAGGTCGTGGGTTCAATTCCCACCTCTGCACCTTCTCCACCGACTCCCACTGATGACTGCTGTAGTTGTGTCCTTGGGCAAGACACTTAACCCCACTTTGCCCAAAACCCCCCACTGAAAAGATCAAGGCTATGCTCACACTCAGAGAGCAGCCGTCCTCCTGTGGACTCACCACCTGCAGAGGGTCAGTGAGGGGCTGGTGCTATGAGACTTGGGTGGCATCTCTGACTGCCACCCCCCTGACCCAGAAATGGATTAAAGGGTAGAAAATGGATGGATGGATGGATGGCCACGCCCCCTGACAAACAGGAAGCCCATACATTCATTTCTACATGTCGGTTGGAAAGAGACTCCTCCTCGGCCGTTTCACCGATGTGCCTCAAAATTGCTCCACATCGTTTAAACACATGTACCATCATTTTCACAGAATTTTGAACAGCGGATTGGCAAAATGTTTTTTTCTCCCCATTTTTGACAATAGACAATTAACTCCCGTTTGGATTTTTTTTTTATCCATTGTTCAACTCTAGGGTCTAGGTCATTTGAAAGTGAAATAATTCAAAATGGCCCATTAGCGCCCCCAACAGACTATGTCAAAATTTTACATGGGGATAATCACATTTAGTTTATTTGCACATAATTCAATTTTGCCCTCTTGATTCAAAAAGTCAATGCCACCCAAGACTTATTTTTTACCTTGTTGCCGTGGCGATAGAGCTGAAACAACTAATCGATTTAATCGATTAAAATCGATTATTAAAATAGTTGTCAACTAATTTAGTCATCGATTAGTTGCTAAATAACTTTTATTTTGCCGTAAGCGGCTCATTTCGTGCATATTTTAACTCTGCGGTGACCAAATGGTGGCAGTAATGAGCCACCGGAGGTTTTACAGCAGGAGAAGTAGCGAATAGCCAATAGCTGGCCTCCTTTTATGTCACATGCTTCGCGCACAGCTTCTCTTCAGCATACAGCAAGATGGCGGAGGCAAGCGGAGTAAGCTCGAGAAAAAAAAGGAAAAAAGCAGAAGACAAACCTAATCGAACGAAGTCATCCAAAGTGTGGGAGCACTTTACTTTGAACCTTCAAAAAAGAAGAGTAACCTGTAAACTCTGCGCTACTGACTTGGCCTGGCACGGGAGTACTACGTCTCTGCGTGAGCACCTTAAACCATCTCTCTGCAGTACTGACTGTTTGCAAAAGATGGCGCCACACTCACTGTTTTAGGCATAAAGTTGATCTTTCAAATAATTTGCACAAAGATGTAAAAAAAAAAAAACATTTATCAGTTTATCAACTTAAATAAGCCTTGTTCGGGATTTTAAACTACTTCAGAAGCCCTAAGGATTTTCATGGTGAAAACATTATTGGAAATCTCCTTGTGAAATTTGCTAGAGTATGTAACGGTCAGTGTTTTGTTTTGATGGTCAACATTGAGTTCACTAAAGGATTACAAAGACATAACAAACAGCTCCAGATATGTTTTTGATGTGGATATGAATATGTAAAATGGTTAAAATCTCTAAAAAGTCTATGTTGAATGATGAAGGCCCTTTGTTAACAATTTACTTGGAAAAAAATTGGCAAAACTAAAATATAAGTACATAAACCGATTAATCGATTAATCGTAAAAATAATCGCCTGATTAATCGATTATCTAAATAATCGTTAGTTGCAGCCCTACGTGGCGATATCAAACACTCCCCATTCTGTGTCAATGGCAAATGTACACCTTGCACAAACATCAAACCAGCCTTGACTGCTTCACCGATTTGGCTGAAAATTGCTCCACATCATCTCAACACATGTACCATCAATACTTGTTCATAACATTTCTATTCGTCACATGGTCTTCCAATGGAGACTGAATATATATGGACACACTCACAGATTATACATGTGCTCTTGTTTACACATACAAAGTCTGATTAACTAAATTACTAAACTTGACCTGGTTGTTTAACTCTTGGACCTAGGTCACCTGAAGGTGTGAAATATTACATTGGCTCTTTAGGGTCCCCTATGGACTGAGCCAAATTACCACATGGGGAGCCAAACCAACTGATCATATATATTACAATTATACACACATTTTTCTATGGCTACGGGCGCAAAAGCGGTGCCACCTCCTTTGCGCGGTGTGGCGAGGGCCGTTTGACGCCGCTTGCGGATTTAATATCTTTTCTTATTTCTTAGTATCTGCACTGTGAAGGCTCACGCACTGTCCTAGTTTGTCCACTGGGTGGCAGTATAGGGTGGTGTCTCTCAATTAGGTTGCACCTGTGTTGGGCTTAAGAGGGGCATGTGCACACCTGTGAGAAGGCATCATGGCAGGGTGAGCACGGGCGGATAGTTTCTGTAGACCGTAAGCAACATTTTATTCATCATCATCATTCGGAAGGTCTTTACTCCCTTTAAGTCCCTATCTCATGCGAATGAATCTACGAGACATCAACATAGCTCGTGTCTTAGCCTGCCGCGGCGCATTTTACACGTGAAGTGTCTTTGACTGTCCAAAATAGCGCTATATAAAACCGATGCAATATTATTATTATTGTCTACGGTTAAGAATCTTTGAAAGTGTGTATCTATACAACTACAAAATGTTGTATTGTGTGCAATTATTTCTAAATGAAGACAAATAACATGGATCTGATACACTGATGGGTTTTACTGTGGAGTCTTTAGCTACAAGCACAAGACAGCTCTGCAGGGACCAAGGCGTCCTTAATTACACATGTGCAGTGAATGGGAGGAACAGCACACACCTGCCATGAGCCCGATTGGATTTACGCCGCATCAATAATTCAGCTTCACATTTGGAGCTGACCACACACAGAGCGGAGACACGGGCTGTGGAAACAAACCAAATTAAAGCCGCAAGCGGCATCTAACGGCCCTCGCCGCACCGCGCAAACGAGGTGGCGCTGACGCGCCACTTTCCTGCAGCCCTGACGGGAGCGAACCTGTGCATTTTTTGAATCTCTTTATGATCAAGATATGTGTCTCTATTCAAGAGGTAAAATCAAATTAAAAAGTGACAATAGCAGTGCCACTGATTCGAAGCGTTTTAGAGTTTTGTATATAAAGTCAATGCTATATGGTGACAATGTATTTTTGGTCTGATCCTTTTCCAGTTCCTGAAGAGCCGTCCTCTCTTGTTGTAACCGACTCAAACGTTGACTCCCTGACCCTGGAGTGGAGTCCTCCGCACGACCGCAACGGACACATCACAGGCTACACCCTCAAGTATCAGCCTGGTAAGACAATACTTCCATAGTTACTGTAGTTATGTTGTAAAGGATACCCAATCACACACTTCACGGTTACTTATTACTGTCTAATTCACCATTTAGATCTAATACAATCAAATAAACCATATAATAGCATTTGTCAAGCATAATCTAATTTTGAACACAATTTTAACAAGTCAACTTTGTCACTTTTTCCATTCTCATCCACACTTGTACCTTACCTTCGCTCCTCCGTTCAAACCAATCTAAACCTTATTCATTATCTTCAAACTTCCATCTGACCTCACACTCCTCCCAACTCCTCCCACTCGCACCTGTTTCCTCCGCTCCATCGCTGTAGTCAATAACACCCATAACCTGGGCCCGCTGGAGGAGCTGGCCTTCGCTGCCAATGAGACGTCAGTCACTTTGGGCAACCTCAAGTACAGCACGCGCTACAAGTTTTATTTGAGTGCAAAAACAAAGAACGGAGCAGGTCCTGCCATCTCGCAAGAAGCACTTACCATCACGGATCAAGGTAAGATGGGGAGCGGATTGTTTTATAATTCTACTCTACGTTTATCATCAATATTTTGGTTATTAAAAAGAACCAAGTAAGTGGGATATGTCAGTACTGTGCAATGTGACAAAGTCCAGGTCTAGTCAAGTCTCCATATCCATTGGAGGGCAAGTTCTTTCATGTTTTTTTTTTTAATAAATAAGGAAAAGATCTAAGGGTTTCCCAGATCATTATTTGAAACTGATTATTCCTGTGTCTGATAATCCTTTCTACGGGCCAACATCCTCATATGTATTTTGAAAATCTTTTATGAGATAATAATTAAACCATAGTTCATAGATACTACCAAAGAAGGTTTTGTTTCATATGGATTGGCCCAGGAATGACAGGAAATGGCTCTGAACTAACACTTTTTTGTAACTGTCAAAAATTACTAGGGATTATTTTTCGCTGCCCACTACCAACATTTTAAACTTTTGGATGTTTTGATGCGCACTGATTACATACTTACTTAAATGAACACAACCTTTTGTATGTAAAAGTGAACATTGGCACTCCTATTGGTGCAAAAAGTTCGATTTGTTCTGATAATTGCATAGTGCTGGCTTTGCTATTCCTATAAGTACATTATTTAAAGCATGAGTGTGATCCTGTTGCACTGATCCACTAAGGTGTGCTTTGATACTGTCTAAACTTTGAATTTTCTCTTTGTCTTTCTAACCATTTCCTTCAACAAGCTTTACTATCTCAACTTGACTTGCATTTGGGGACAGGTACCAGCGTTTTTACACTGATGCATGGTTGTCATGACTACAGTACAGTGTTTTCGCTCCAGTTTCTCTGTAGCCTCTGACATATTGGACAGCCATTTGCTGAGCTCAAAGCTTTGAAAAGTTCAAAGCCACATAGATAGAGATGCTGTGCGACATGTGCCGTTTTAATGTTTGGTGATAAAACTTGATGACTTCTCAAAGTGCTCAGCTGCGTTTCTGTTGCCTTTGGTGGTTGTGATCCGTTTTCCCATTTGCAAATGCATATATTTATATTATGGTCATGGTGCTTGCTGATCTGCTCAGAGAGGCGTTGCATGGCATCCCAATGAACTGTGGCACTGTGTAAATTGACATTGTGCGTCTTGTGTGTGGTGCGGTTTTACCCATTTTCATGTTGTTTGCAGGGAGCACCCAAACATCCCATCCCAATGCACAACCGTTACCACGCCAACCAACCCACCAGGGTACTGCTCATGTTGAGTTTCATAGTTGGGTAGATGGATGATCAGCCATAACATTATAACGCCACTAACTGGTGAAGCAAACAGTTTAGTCTGGATTTCACCGGTCCTCAAAGTCAAAAATAAATATAAGATAAGATACTCATTTATTCGTCCCACGGTGGGGAGGTTTCACATATGGAAATGGACTTGTGTAAATGATGTGATTCATCCTCTGCAATTGTTTCAAACCTTGTACATCTTGCATGGTCACGTTTTAAAGATACATCTTGAAAATGTTATTTATAGAAAATACCGTTTTAGGAACTATGAGTGTCTTTTCCTGTCACAGTCAAAGTTATGAATGCATATTGGAGTAATATTTCAAGTCACAACCAGTCATTCCCAAACTTTTCATTCAGGCCCCACAAAATATGTAAACTTTTGAAGCATGATTGATCCATTGTTGCTTTTGTTTATGGAGTCAATGATTGTGTGATTAGGGCCTAATTTTAAAATAAGACATCCTTTATTCTTCACACAGTGGGTAAACTTTGTTGCAGCGCACAGGGAGCACACAAAATATACAATATAAGTAGCTGCTGTGTTTCTTGGCTAGCTATAAATGCTACAATATCAATCTCATATGTTGCGTGAAGTAAGATACTGAAACATTTTTGGAATGCGTCTCACAATTAGCGTCTCACATCCCCCACTTTGAGAACCACTGCCATTCACGCAACCTGTACTTTTCTACATAACATCGATGTGTGGTAAAGTAAGTAAAAACAGACTAAAGAAAGACAGGAAGGGCAAGTGCTTGAACGGTGTTGACTTGTACACCAGATGAACTAGTTTCAAAGGGCCCTTGCTTCCATAGCAGAGAATGTGCTGTTTGAATATATGAACGCATTACTAAGTGGTTATAATGTTATGTCTGATCACTGTGTAATGATGCACGCAGTGTATTCATCAAACCCACCAGTCATTTCCACCTTCTCATTTGAGCCGCAGAGAAATCATTCTGCCTTTTCTCTCCCCCTTGTGCATATAGCAAACCCAGTGAGCGAGGATTTTGGGAATGTTAGCTCCACGGTTGCAGATGACGGGGTCCTGATCAGTTGGGAGTACACGGGCCCGGAGAAAGACATTTATGTAGAATACAAAATGAAAGACAGTAAGCATCCATGTTCTTCTTCCCCACTGCTCCACAAAGGTGACAAGAGACCTCTGCTTCATAATTGCCCCGTGCAGGTGAATAGAAATATTGGCCGTCACGCTCCTGCTGCTTCTTGCCAACGTGTGGACTCAGATGTGATAAACCAGTCCGCCTGTGATTGGTTTGCTAATTAGAATTCTGTTATTGACGAGAGATGCTGCGGAATTTCCCAGGACAATCTCTCTCAAAGTCAAACTTATGCAGATAAGCATCGCACCGAGCAGCGCAAACATTCCCGTTATGCCAATTAATTTTGTCTGAAGTGTTCGCCATTGTTTTTATCCACCTGCAGAGGAGATGAGAAATATTGTGTGGCAGTAAGGCTCTCTCAAACCTACTGTTTAGGGAATGTGTTTAGGCCATTATAGCTGTGAATCATCATAGACACACTCCTGTCAAATATCCACTTTTATGGCATTTAGATTACAGTGAAATTAAATATATATGTCTAGTAGGGCTGCACAATTTTGGCAAAATAATGAATTGTGACTTTTCTGACAACTTTGAGAACACACAATAACATAGTTTATGAGTTTTATGTTTAAGTTCAAACTATAATATAATCAGATATTTTGGTCATAAAATATAAATTGCAAAAAATAGATAAAACACTAATGATGTACCTTCTGTTTGATTATGAGCAATTGTACAGCTCTTTGTGACTCTCAGTCTGTGAAAGGCACTTTATAAATAGAACATTTGAGGATATTCTGGTATTTTCAAAGAGCAGACCTGCCCATAGAAGGTGGCACGAGCAAAAATAAATCAATTTCAGTAAAATTTCATACTGAGAAAAATTCAACTTTGCTTAAAATAAGGCCAAGTAGTTAGTTCCATGGACCAAAAATTTACAAAAATCAAATCTATTTTGCAAAGGACCTCAATAATTTCAGTCTTTTTTGCTAATTGCATTGACTAAAATTGCAGCTATTTGTGCAGCCCTAATTTCTAGTTTCACAAAACTCCAAAAACGACTTAAACATTTGAACCTGATGTTACTTTAGCCTTCCCTCTACCTAAAGCATTTGCATTCACCACGATCCTCGGCCCACAAAACCGCGATGCCCCCTGATTGCTCTCTCTATGGCCGTCCCCTCTGCAGATGAAGGCGAGGCGTGGCACAAAGAGCCCGTGAACGGCTCTCAGAACTTTGTGGTCAAGGGCCTTAAGGCGGGGGTCTCCTACTGGGTGAGGTTGGTGGCCAGCGGCGCGTCCGAGCTGCCCTCCCAGCACTCCAGGGAACTCTTGGTGTCCGTGCCAGGTGAGGCCCGGCCTGGACAAGCGCTGTGTTGGCTGTTGATGGTGTCGAAGCGTTGGTTGTAAACGTGGTTGTGTTGTTTTTTGTGGTGACAGAGGCATGCACTGTAGTGATAGCATGGGTAGAACTTAGTAGGTGTCACTATTATCAAGAATAGAAAACATAGCCGCTCTGTCTAATAATACAATTTCTGCATAACTACCATGCTAACACAAATTACAGTATATTCCTTTTGCTTTTGTGTGAGTGTTTGTGAAATAGCCGCACAACATAAGAAAACACTACATTTGTCCATTTTCCTCTTCACAATTTTCATATACTTCACTCTGTAACTCCAGCACTAATCACAAGCATATACTGTATGTAGATGGACATCGCTAACCTGCTAGCTCAACAATACCCAAGAGGGAAGTGCTCATGGTGAAGTTTTGCTCCAACTCACTCTGGCTCCTTTTGACTCCTCGGTCCATTCATTAAACGTTTGTGTCACACTTACCATTTTGGGCTTAAAAATATAGTGGTTTGAGCCATATAAGGATTGACCAATCAGATGCCTTAATTTGCAGATAAAAATTCCAGCTTGATTTAGCAACCATTTTAGCAACATGCCTGCCGGAGCTGATGCCATCGTAACAAATGCCCATATAAGGAAATTGGCTCCAGCTAGCTAATGTTAAAATCACATTCTTCCACATTCACACTATGGTTTTACAGAATGGTCAGTCAACTCATATTTTTCGGTCTATGATCAGACATACAGTGCAATACAGATTGTTGATTTCCGATTTCTTCATGATTTCAAACTGGAGGAAATAATTTACCCAGTCCTGGTGTGCGTTTCTTTTTGGAGAATAATTTCCAGTCCTTCTATCTTGTAATTGCTACATTTGCTTCTCTTTGTAACCGCTCTGTCTAAAAATACAACTCTAACCTCACTTTCTTCTCTCTCTGTGCAAACCTGATCCACTCATGTAACAAAAACTGTACTAAAAACTGATCAACACCTCGTACGGTCTGATCCGATGCCTTTTCTCAGAGTGTGTTTTGTGTGCAGCGGTGGCGAGTCGACAAGTGGATATTGCCACTCAGGGCTGGTTCATTGGTCTCATGTGCGCCATCGCCCTCCTCATCCTCATTCTGCTCATCATCTGCTTCATCCAGAGGAATAAAGGCGGGAAATACCCAGGTGAGTCGCAGCAGCAGCAGCAGCAGCAGCAGCAGCAGCAGCAGCACACACCCACATGTCGGTCATCTCAGGATTCAGGCTAATGTCCAATAAGTCCAAGTGGTTTGTTATAGGTGCCTTCCTCAGCCAGTCCTGGTGGTGACCATAGACCAGGCCACATTGGGATATCACCCTTTTTACCCCCAAAAAAGAGGGTTTAGGGGTAGAAGAATTAGTAAGTTCTTAGTAAGTCTTAAGTTTGATAATGATAATACAACTTTTTTTGAAAACAGTGTTAACAAAGCTTTGCAGAGTCAGCACAATCAACAAAAACAGCCAATAATACAGTCATAATAATACAATATCATAATCATTAACAATATATACAGGAAGACAAAGCAGACAGAGGGCACACAAGAGGAAAGATAAAACAAACACAATGTGGAACAGTAGTGTGAAGTTCAAAACTAGCAGTTAAAGGCTGTTCGATAAAAGTGGGTATAAGGCATTGAAATAGCTTTTTTTCCTTTTTTTCGTATCTGCTGCGATGTTGGCACTTGTGATTCCGTAAAAGGGCAGGCACACATCAAAACTCGAAGGAATACATTCAATCTCAATATTGAAATTGACTTCAGTACATAATATTCAAAACATAAGCTGATAGAAGTAGTGCACCAGATGAAATGAGCGACAGTGACAAAGTGGCTCTGAAAACATGGGCAGATTCCGGTGTATTTTACAGCACCAGCTCTGTTTGCTATAAATGATGAGACTGAATCAAAGCCAGTGTTTATGCATCTCGGTGCTCCATTCCTCTGTATAAACTGCTGCATCACTCTTGTTTTCTAATCTCATTCTGACTTCCCAGTAGTGCCGTACAAATATGTTTAATGAGATTCTCTGCCACGCTTTGTCCACAGTGAAAGAAAAGGAAGACGCACACACAGACCCAGAGTTCCAGCCCATGAAAGAGGAGGACTGTACTTTTGGTGAATACAGGTGAGACAAAGCAGGCAGCCACCTCTGGAGCCCTTGACATTTCGACGACTGGGACTTGTCAGACATCTTTTTTAGACTTAAACATCAATTTCAGCCAGGATCGTCGTCATGGAGATACAAACCACATCTGAACTCTTTTTTGTAGTCGTGTTAAAAGCACAAGATTCTGTCTGATGCGGAGCAGAGGTTGTTGGTTCTATGTCCAGGGCGATATACATATATAAGCTATGTCATTTGCAACTTGACAGTCTGTGTTCTGCATTCCATCTCCCAGAAACCTCTCCACGCATGTCTAAAGAATATATACTGCCTTGTGATAATTATTGCAGTTTAATGAACCATCCCTGCTAACTCTCAGAGGCACACCTGCTGCTTGCCGGAGCACCACCGTCCTTAGGCTGCTTCTACTTCAACCGCACGCAAATGAATACGCACTTTACCTGTGTAGAACTAGCATAATATATCAACATTGTTTTTATGAGTCAATTTATAATATGGACTTGCTTTTATATTTGTATTTATTTTGTATTCTCTTGACATGATTCTGTTTAACGACGACTATAATCCCAGATACATATCCATATATATATTCTTAGTGCGATATGCATGATTGTAACTTTGCTTCGGACAATACTTTGTTTAATGGAAGCTGCTGCTGGATGCCTGTACGTCTGGAACAAAGTTGTCAGCATGTTTCAAAGAAAGCAATCATTATTCTGAGTGCAGGATGTGTGTTTGCGGCCATAAAGAGGTGCTTATAGGAGTGACCCTGTGCTTCTATATATAAATCCATAAAGAGGAAGTAAATGCAATCACAAAGCAGAGTCCTACACATGCGTTTCTCCTGTAGCTATATCTGCTTTGCCCCTAAATGAAGTTGATAATCCCATTCACTGTATCCAGAGTGCACTCATCAGAGTGAGTGTGGGATCCCAGCGTTCTCAGGAAAGGTAAGGCTTCGGAGCAGGGCTGAAGACGAGCCCATCACTGTGGAGAAAATACTCATCCGACTGCACTGCCTTCATTGTGTACAAGCTTTTAGAGATTTGTCCTTCCTCAGATAAGCGCAAATATATTTGCATCTTTGACAAACTCAACTTGGGTAACCTTTGGTATGTTTGCAGTACTTGCTGGACTATTAAGTGCTCCTGTATATGAACCACATCAGCTACATTTAAAAAGAATACATTTCTTTCCCCAAATACAGGTCACACTTGAGTATACACTGCAAAAAATGTATCTTATAATGCAACACTTAACCAGCGAATAGAGAAACACAACTGTTTTATTTGGACACATGACAATCAAAGCACTCCGGTAAATCCAATCTATTTGTATGACAACATTCCTACTAAAATTTGTGTTGTCAATATAATAAGTCCATATACTCTGCTCTGACATTAGCTGTTCTCTGCTGTTCACATAAACACGACTTACAGAGATGTGCCCAAATCCCTTCCTCTAAAGAAAAAAATTGCGACTTATTGTCCAGCAAGTACAGTAAATTAAAGCTGGGGTATCTAACTTTCAAGAAGGTTTCAAATAATGCCGCACACCCCAGTAGCCTGAACAAGCGTACTAGATTAAAAAAAGGTGCAAAATATGAAAAAATAGAGATAATCGGACTCAAAAATCCATCTCAAAACAGATCAGTCACTAGTTTTCACGTAAATTTGGCCTCTCATCTTGGTCACATGTTTAGATCAGCTTTTTCACACAGAAAAGTCAACAGTATAACTTATCATCTCTATTTGACACTTTGAGCTGATTGGCTAACTATGCTAAAGCTAACATGTATTCTAAAAAGACCGAATGTTGAAGTCTGATTTGTTCACAGCATTTTACTTTTACAAGAGTCTTTCTGTTGAACAACATGAATTACTTATGAAACAAAAGAAGTTAGGTACCCCAGCTTTACGTTTTTTTTTCATACCCAGATCGATTGGGACACATTCTCGTCAAAGATATGAATTCTTTGTGTTAATTTGTGGCACATTTGCATCATGAAGGCTTTGTGGTTCTCTCTCATTGATGTTCAGCTCATGTATGTGCGGCACTTTTTCAAACAAGGTTTTTTAATGCATTTTGCCAGTTGGTAACTTCAGCCACGCTTGCTTTGGTGGATATGTTGCTTTTGGAGTTACATCACACCATGGCCTTGGATTTTCAGTTCTTCATTACGTTTGTGGGATGTGTGGGCGCCGTCCTACTTCATACTTGGTTTCAGGGGGAATTTGGAACTGGTTGGTTGCTTGAGATTTATTCCCCTGTTGCTTGATTGAAACCAAAACTTCATTCAACACTTTTTGACATGGCGTATTAAGTAAAAATTATACATTGTTGAATATTAATTGATTGTTCATAACGTGCTACTGCCCACAGAACGTAGTAGGGCTGCACGGTTTTTGCCAATTATACATTTTTTCTCCCAATTTACAATATACAGGTGAAACTCTGAGAATTTGAATATTGTTCAAAAGTCCATTTATGTCTGAAATTCAACTTATATTGTGACAGACTCATCACGTGAAAAGTGACATGTACCATGCTTTTATTTGTTATGTTGATAATTGGCTCACAGCTGTAAAAACTATTATACTGTCGCCCCAATATATAATATTGGGGCAACAGTAGCTCAGTTGGTAGAGCACTGGACTTTGAGCCTGAAGGTCGAGGGTTCACGGGACCTTCTCCACCGACTCTCACTGATGACTGCTGTCGTTGTGTCCTTGGGCAAGATACTTAACCCTGCATTGCCTGAAGCCCCCGCTGAAAAATCAAGGCCGTATTGTCACTGACAGAGCAGCCGTCCTCCTGTATCAATAATAGGAACTTCTGGCACAAACATGTAACTATATATATGAACTTTTGAACAATATTCGATTTTTTTAGTGTGTTCTTAAAAACGCTGCATATATCGAACAACTCCCAGAGAGTTGGAAAAAACAGGCCGCAACCTCAACATTCCAACACAATTCTGATTATTTCAGTAATCATAAATAATTAACTGCAAAAATGATGCCCAAATGCTTGAACTACAAAGTTTTACCAATGAAGCAAGCACGACACCTCATGTTGTACTTTGTGTATTCATTTTCTTCGCAAAAGACTTTGAGAAATTGCAGAAAAGTTTTAGTATTTGGGATTTGCTCATTGATACCACTAAAACTGCGACCAATCGTGCAGCCCTAGCCCGTGGTCGGCTGCGGTAAGCCCCGTCTAAATACCCCATGTTCAAAAGTGCTCATAACGTTCTGTCTTGTGTTGCATCTGTCCCACCATCTCCCCTGTAACACCTGCATGTGGTTTTCTCCTCCAGTGACAATGAGGACCATAAACCGTTAAAGGGGAGCCGCTCGCCATCTAACGGGACAGTTAAGAGAGAAGACAGTGATGACAGTTTAGTAGACTACGGAGAAGGAGGAGACGGCCAGTTCAACGAGGACGGCTCTTTTATCGGACAGTATAGTGGAAAGAGCGGCTGTAGGGACAACCCCGACGGCCCCGAGAGCTCAGAGGCCCCTTCCCCTATTAAGGCCATGAACTCATTGAACTCTTTTGTCTAGACGCTGCTCTCTATAGACGCACTTCTAGAGGACTCTGCACAAATCCACACACGTCTGTATTTTGCATGCACGCTGTCGGAGTCGCACTTAAAGGAGACGTATTATGCAAAATCAGCTGGTTTGAGCTTTTAACAAACAGTGTTTCCTCAACATAAACAGACCCGGAGCTGTTTTTAGGTCCATTTACACTAATGTCAAAATAGTAACTTTTGGCACAAACATGTAACTCCGCCCCTTGAGTCTAAAAGCTCCTGTCTCATTCCTGTTATAGTATGAGCTCCTTGAACCACTTGATGTTTTTTTTTCTTTTTAAAACAAAAGTCATGCTCATGAATTCGTTACAGCAATTTCTCAACTGAAATTTCAAGTGCTTTCAGCCGGTAAATTTTGAATTTGGCAACAAACAAAACAAATTCAACTCTTCCCTCCTAGTGGCAGCATAGGGAGTTACAGGCGGACATCATATTTTACCCTTAGCACCTGTTTCACCGTATAGTTTCTACTCATCATGCTATGTGACCTTCTAAAACATTAAATTACAAATTGAATAGTCTCATTAACATATTTAATGGCCAAAAATACTGCATAATATTTCTTCTTTAAACCCTCTTTTGTTTCGGCGTACTCCGTCTGCTCAGAACTTGCGGTGAGATTGATTGATAGTAATTAGGTCTAATCATGCATGGATTACTTGAAGCCACCTAAATTCACTATCGCATCCTGAATCAGAACCTTGCTCAGACTCTATGGACTATGCGGTGCTTGTCTGAACTATTTTTGTTTTTGTTTTGATGACATAAAAATCACTCGTGTATCCTCATGTACTTCACAATTGTACAAGACTGTATATTCAATATTGTTTGTAAGTATACCTACACGATGATGCCGATGGTGTACATTGAGTATATATATATATTTAAATGCATATATATATAGAATTGTATGGACAAGGACGAAGTGACCAGGAGTGCCCCCAGCGCGCCTGACAATGATTTTGTTTGTCACATCTCCTGAGCTCTGAGCGGGACTGCAAGCCTCTACAGATAGTGCCTTTTCCTGGACATTCATCGGTGAAGTGTGAGACCTTCCGAATGATTCTAAAGGACTATGTTGTGAGAAGAATAATTCATATACAGTATTCTTCATCCCTCTCCATCTCACTGCCTTCAGAGCTGGCTTCAAGCTTGACGTCCGGCCGGAGCTAATGGTTTAAGCTGTGTGGTGCATTTGGAATCTTCACTGACAATATGGACTGCGATTGTATTTTTGCAGTGAATGTACTCTTTGTATGTATGTATGTATGTTTTTGTGAACTCCCGGTACTTTTCTTTTGTACTAACAAAGCTTGAGGGCCTTTGGTTGGAATCAAGATTTATTTTGTCTTAACTTGCATCAAGTTCTTTTAGTTAAATGTGTAAATATCTAATGAATTGTACAGAGAGGAGGCTGTTATTGTGCATGTCATGGTTTAACTTGTGCATAGGACTGTATTAAATATAGACTACTTTTAGAGAATATATTCTTTTTATTGCCTGTGCACATAGATGGTGTATTGTAATTATATTACCATATTTTGATTTGATTGTTACAGCTTCTTTCTTTTGGTATATTTCAACATGACACCTTGTAATATTGATTTGAATAGGTTTCACAACGGTCCTGGTTTATTTCCAAAAGCAATCATGACACTATTGCCAATGGTTTTGTATTTATGAATTATATTTGTACTAACAGATATTTTTAAGTTTCTATTTTAAGTTTCACTTTTTAGAGAAGAGCATCAAAATGTAAAGCATCTGGAAATAAAGTGAATGATGAACATCTGATCTGATCCTCTGAAGTTTGTTATTTTAAAACTATCACCAACTCATGCTGAGGAAATGTAAAGGACGATATTGGGTCAGAACTTGAATATCTCAGTTGATAGTTGCAAGTTTAAAAATATATTATACAATATATTCATACTTGAGACTGGAAAGTTGGTTAGTCAATATCTTGTTTGTTTCATTGTTTGGCTGCTCTGTATCAAGTTAATCCATTAATCACAACAAATACATCGTTTCAAAGTCCATTTTCCATGGCCCTAAACATGCTGAGAAGAGCTTTCATGACTCAGATCATTCTATAATTATCACAGAATAAGTGTGAATCAAGTATAAGAAATATAAAACTTCCTGCTTACTGTGTAGGTTCTTGTTGAAATTCCCATGTAATGAGTTATCTTTAAAAAAGGAAAATAATCCCATAATCACTGAGCTTTTGGGATCCAATGAACTAATCGATTAATTGATATACTAATATAGCCTTTCAGCTCTATTTCATTGCATCAGTGTACATGAACAGTTGATCAAAAGTAGGAGAAGAATCGGTTCTAAAAGACCCAGGGCTGGTCAAGTTAGGCAAAGTAAAAAAAAATGCAGCCCGAAAAAATAAAAATAAAAGTAGGGTATTTTTGACCCAAGGCACAACAACATTTTTCTCTCTGATAAAGCTGTATATCTTAACTCTTGGATCACGGATGGAGGGGCTCTGTTCCAGTCAAACCATCTATCACAATTTACCTCTTGTCTGTCTCACATCCTCTCTGTCTTCCCTGATCACTCATCACCAGCGTTTCCCCCTCACATCTACTGCCCTCTTGTGGCCATGTCAATACTCCCCTAACTGAGCAACAGGCTGAATTCTAATGAAATGAATCACAAAATCAATACCTAATCATTCCTGCCACACCTTTTTTAACCAAGCCTCCCTCACCTTATTGTGTATTTACAAGGCACAATTTTCTGTTGTTATAGCTAATCATTACCACCACACAAGCAGATGCCCTGTTACCCTTGTGAACCCCACCCAGCCTGCCACCCTCCCCCTCCCGCTTATAAATCCCTCTTCCAATTCTCCCAGGATTCATTCCCCAGTCGGTCTGCCTCAGCATCCATTATCTCGTCCCACCTCTGCCGCCACAGCTCCTTGATTTACTACCATAGCCTGTAAAAGCCTGATCCATAGTCTACCTCCAGTCTGCTGTCCATGGCTGAAAGAAAAATCCCCTTCCAAGTCACATCATTTGCATTTATAGGGCATGCATCGGTGCAATATTCTGCTCTGCGCTAAAATGTTTGCAATTTTACTTTAGTGTATATGCTTTGTAAGGCTTCTAAGTGGGATCTCCTTTTGTGTTTATGCAAAGTTGGCCTTTTCTGGTGCGATCAAAGCTGGGGGCAGATAATTGTTTATGATTATTCTGTGACATTTCCACACTTGTCCCAAAAACACACAAAAAACCTGCTTTTGAAAATGTCAAAGTGGGAAAAATCTCACACAATTTACTTTCATGATGGTTGTTTTAGCTCAAGGGAAAGTGGGTATCTCGCATAACACTACTTATGTGGAGAGCACTTTGATTTGGAATTAAGACTGTATCAAGACCCTCCCCCACCCCCACACAGGATTAAAGGACCCTCTCCCCCTTTTTTTCTTATGTGTGTATTAAGATTGGGTGGGTATGGGTGGGTGCTGGGGGTTATGAGCCCCAGTGGAGATGATGACTGGGGCTAAATCATACTTACCCCCCCACCCCGTCCCAGCAGAGGACACCCACCGTTCTCACCCACACGCATGGCTGTTTGCTCTCCCTCTTTACTCTTCATCCAATCATCAGCTGTTTGTCTTGGCTTCTCTGTGGTAAGTGAAAAAAATAAAACAATGTATAAGATCATGTTTGGAATTATAGAGATAAAAATTTAGCAATATTTTGATGCTTGTACATTTGTTTTAGCAAAGGCCAGACATGGGCAAACGTTTCATCCTGAGGGCTACGTTGGAATATTGTCCTGCTGTAAGGGGACGGACGTCATTCACATTGGGCCTCATTCACGAACGGTTCTTAGGAACAGATTTGTACGTAAATCCTACTTACGAGGTTTTTAAAGAAAGTGGCATTCACGAATTTTTCTCGTAACCAGAATTTCTCTTGGGCAAGTACAAATCCTACGAGTCCTCAGGAGCACTCGTACGCATTCAGTGCCGACATGTTCACACGCCGGGGTTGTCCTCTTTGGTGAAGTTTAATAAAAATACAACATTCCAGTGATATGTCCGTCATATTGATGTATGTATTTAATCTATTTTTTCATTTTTGTGGTTACATATTATTTTTCATTTTCATTTTCAAATTAAATGTGCCAACGCTTTTCAAAATACATTGGAAATCTTGCCGTGTATTAGTGACCCCTTCCTATTTATAGGGGGCATTTCTTTATCCACGGGCCACAGAACAACGGCATAAATACTGCTGCTGCAGGAGGTTTACGGGGTCCGCGCTGAGTCTCTGCGCTGGTCTCTCCCATGGATCTATACGGGTCTGCACTGGTCTCTCCCATGGATCTATATGGGTCTGCACTGGTCTCTCCCATGGCTCTAGACGGGGCTGCACTGGTCTCTCCATACGGGTCCGTGCTGCATGCTCCTGGATCCATACGGGTCCGCGCTGGTCTCTCAAGTCTGGTCTATGCGGTCTCTCTTCGGTCCGCGCTGGTCTCTGCGCACCGGTCTCTCCAGTCTATGTGGTCTCTCCTGTACACCTCCCCAGAGCTGCCTCAACTGACTCCTCTCGACGTGGAGAAGCAGCAAGCTCTACTCCGAGCTCCTCATCCCATGTATAAGGCAGCACCCAGCCATTGGAATGTGTCTTTTCGGTCAATACCCAAAGCTCATGACAATAAGTGAGGCTGGGAATGTAGAATGACTAAAATGATACCTTTGCCTTTCACCACTGATCCGTCTTTCCATCTCACTCTCGATCCTTCTCTCACTGTGAACAAGACCGACAGATAGTTCAACTCCTGCACTTGAGGAAGGACCTGTGCACCACCTGGAGAGGACAAGGCACCTTTTTACGGTCTGTATAGAGGTGTTATTCAAGCTTGCAATAACTCTCCATATTATTACTGTGAGGTGCAAGGATGGACCAAGGAAGCCAAGCAAGATTAAAGGAAAGGATA